ATGATCAGGATTCTGCAAGCATTTGCTGTTTTTTCCTGAGGAAAAGACTAAACCCTGGAATAAGCATATAGTGACGAAATTTCAGGATTCTCTCAGGATTCAAAATAAGATTTCCTAGGATACTGACACATTTACCATTGCTTTCGAACCAGGATTAAGCCAGGAAACCGATGATTCCTAAAAGAACAGTGCAGCCATGGAACTGTATGGTCCTGTCAGGGTTTCAATAATCCAAACTTGGTAAAAAAGATTACTGATTACATCTTTCAGGATTTGACTTGGCTCCTCGAAGACGTTATCGAATTGCTGGGCAGGATCTTTGCACGATTTTCGAAATAGACCATAAGAGAAACGAACACATACGGTATCAATCTTTAGACCTTCAATTTACATATTGATCAACTTACCCAGCTGGATGTGCCATACTATTCTGTATCACTTTAAAGTTCAAAACCTTAATTTTTGATTCTAATGTAGACTTCCATTGGATTTTACTGTGAATACAAATTATCTCAAAAGAATTCTGAAAATGAAGCATCTTTTACATAGTTATTTTAGTCAGTGAAATTTATTTTTTTTAAATTTCGATTCAGTTGCAAAAATACTAGGTGACCAATAATGGTTGGACGCATTTTTGCATTTCATGTCTTAATCACTAAATAGGTTTTATTAAAAAACAAAATATACCATAAGATGCACCACGAAAAACTCTCAAATCTGCATAGAAAAGCGTATTTCATTTGTGCGCTTTTTGTCTTCAAAATAAGCAAAAATCTATGAGGCCAAGTTTAACGCTTTGAAGAATATCAGTTTTTAGTATATGATGAATTTCTTTAATCGATTGAGCTAGTCAAGTTTTGCTTGGAATCAGAGTAGGATGTTTAGAACGAGATCTTCAGCAAATCCGGACTGAAAATAGCTTTCATGGCCCCTAAATCCCATAGGAGAAAAGTTGAAAAATCAATTTTGTAGGCTGCTGGTTTGTTCCATGGAAAATCTGATCACACCATTGAATAGAGCTGGTCGACTGCTACTCGCAACAAGCATAATAACGTTTGAATAAGTGGCTGAGCACATTCGGTCCGGAAAAACTCGAATCTGATGATAACTTCACCCACGTGCTAAATTCTTATATTTTCTTATGAGGATTTTGATTAGAATTGATGATGTCTTCCAAAGTCTGGAAACATATATTCTTGAAAGTTCATAAGAGGATCCTGATTGAAAGTTTTCACGATTAGTCAATTTCGTATGTTTACTAATCTTGTTATTTTCTTTGTAACATCATCTGATATGGCTATCACTCCTGACAGGATCCTGATACGAATATTTGACCTAGATCTTGACGAGAACTTGATATAGTCTTGGCAGAATCCTGTTGCATAATGTTGAAAGGATCCTCAATAGGATGTTGAGTCAATACTGATAGGACCTTATTTTCTCAACTCAGAAAGTATGTGAGTAGGAGCTTGAAGAAATCCTGGGAACAGGAATTATTAAGATTCGGAACAGGGTTCTGAATAAAACTTGACAAGATCTTTAAGGTTGAGGATCCTGAAAGATCCTTTCAGAAATACTCAAAGAATGATCAGGATCAAGAGTAGGGACACTACATTGTTATCTTCTTCCTTATTGCTCAATATCTACAATAGAAAAACGAAAAAGAATTAATTGAAATGATCAAAGGAGTTCTAACCACACTCGTAGTGGGCTTGAAGAGAAAGAAAACGACAAAGAAATTAAAACGGTACTTGCATTTTTTGATCGGTTAGGTAAGTGGATGTGGTGATAGCCGTTGTTAGAATTCTCCTCTTAATTAACCTCCACGCTCAAAAGGAGGGTGGTATGACTTCCATTGATCTTTTTTATTAATTCTCTTTCTCTTTGAGATATTAAACATTGAAGAAGCAGATAACAACGAGACGAATTTTTCTTCCTTCGACATTTATGATTAATTAAAATTTGTTACTTTGTTTTTAGGCTTCAATATCATTGCATCGTGCTCGAAGAACATCGAAAGAAGTGAGTAATTTCTTTTTCTTTTAGGGACAGAGCTGGAAAAATGGGTAAAGGTGGGTCATGTTCGTGTAGGCTAAGCCCCTATTATCTTGCAGACCTTCCGAGTAGCCCCTACACTCTCGATCAGGGCTCGTCTTGATCTTCGTGGCACACGATCAGGCTCATCAGATTCATGGACGGATTCCTTGATGGAGTCATGCAGATGATAGAAGTCTGTTCCATGTGTGCATGAGCGTTACGACCGCTTCGACTCCACCGGCATGATTTCTGTGGAGCCCGCGTACGCGCTTACATTAAGTATAAAGCAATTTTCTTTAATTAATCTCATTTATTCGAACGAAAGAATAGAGAACAAAAAAAAATTAATCGGTGTTTCTGATTCATTTTATTTTGAAGCGTTGAACACGATGATTCTTCCAATCGACAGCATACAGATTGCCTTGCCGATCGTAGGACAAGGCTCCGAGACCATAGAACTGGTTTGCTCCTGCTCCTCGACCATTGCCACCCACAATGATAGTGCCTTGTTTCGCATCTTGGGACCAACACATCACTCGATCATTTCCTGAGTCTCCGACATAGATGGCACCTGATGTATCGACGAACAGTCCGTATGGATAATACAATTGTGTGGATGCATCTCCTCGGCCTTTATCTCCAGCAACGACAAATCCTTCTGTTGTACCTTTATTCCATTTCACTACACGATTATTGTAGCTGTCTGAAACGTAGATAGCCTGTTGTCGATCGACAAACAGGTATTTTGGATTGCTGAATTGAGTGAAACCATCACCTTTTCCATTGCCACCAGCTATGAGAATTCCATTTTTGTCTCCTATTTGATACCGTTTTACTGCATTATTTGTGGTGTCAGAGACGTAGAGATATCTCTGGTCATCCATGGCTAATCCCCAACAACGGATATTGTCGATGAGGATTTCTCCTTGGCTTGTGCCTTTACCACGAGACCATCGTACGACTCGTTCATTCAGCGAATCACAAATAATAAAACTATCCGTCTCTTTGTCGATCAATACATCTGTTGGTTCATTCAATTGATACATTCGATTTCCTGGTCCATGACCACCAGCGACTATTTGTCCGTTCGTATCACCCATATTCCATTGCACGATACGATGATTACCAACGTCAGTAATGACTATCATTTGATCATCGTCAACGAAGAGACCGTCAGGAGAGTCGAGTTGATGCGAGCCATTTCCTGGTCCGTGGCCTCCAGCGATAGTCTCCCCATTTGCTGCCCATCCAGCATTAGCTGGAATATTAGGAATCGCTACAATGAAGAAGAAAATAATCGTTGTTATTCCCGAAGAGATTCTCCTCGTGTATGCAAAATACTAGACAACAAATGAGATATTCTCTCTCGTGGAACGCAATCTCTGCTGAAGTCATGTATCTTTTGATGAGCACTGAAAGAAAAAAACATCAGATTCGTTCTCATAATAGGAAGTCTTGTTTTTTCTTCCGGGTGATTTGTCTGATCAAACGAAGAGATGAAGAAGCGTATTTTTTGTTCATCGGCATTGGAAAGTTTCTGAGAACACTTTATTAGTGATTTTCATCGTCTGACGAAGGTGTCTCTCTTCTAATCGTAACTTACGATCAATAGATCTATGAGCAGATGTAGTCATAGAAGAAGATTGAGATGAGTAAAAGAGAGATTAGGTAGGGACTTCTGAGTTTCACACATATATTTCAATTTTGGAGATGCTTTGTGAATCAGAAGCAGTAACATATAACCTAGCGAGTCGATGTAGGAAACCGATGCAAAATATAATTGACGCAAGTATAGGAGATCAATGCACTGATTTCTCATGAATAAATGCATGAAGTTACTCTCACGAACCCCTTAGCAGGATCTAGAGTCAGAGGTCGAAAGCAACAGGTGTGACGATTTCTAATAGAAGGAATGTTAGTGTGGATGAAGATGCACTTTATTCTATTCTTTCATATCATACAATCGTATCGTTAACATACGAAGTATACGCCAATATACGAAAGCAGGAGAGACAAGGAGAGAGCATGGGAGGAAAGGAGAAGAAATCAAGGAAAGATCAGCAAGGTAAAGGCACTACAGTAAGAACAATAAATTAGGGACAATCCATATAATGAGAGCATATGGTAAGGGAAAGTTTCACATCATGTATACAATACACTCAACAAAGATTTTCACAATAAAAAATCCTGAAGAAGAATTTGAAGGTAGGGTATGGGTATAGCTTCAATTTACTTTTTGTGCACACTCACGCCCCACTCCTTTATTTTCGCCTGAGGGTTTGAACTTGCAGAAACTTGACTCATGATTAATGCTTATGAGTAGATAAAGAAGAATCCTGTTTCTTGTTGTTGATAAAGAAAATATTTTCGAATGTCTGACAAGAGATTTCTTCAACCTAAATAAGACGGTTTTTCTCACAGTAACTTAAAATTGCCAGTAGAAGGGCACATTTTATAGGCTTGCGCAAACAATCGTCCAGGAAAAACTTAGAACAGCTCCAAAATTTCGCGAAACTTTCTTGAAAAACAATGAGCATCCTGCAATATATGCCACACTTTCGTTTGCTATGTTTCAAGGATGAAAAATTGGTTAAATTTTTAACTCCGATCGGGACGCATATAGACTTAATTATCTTCAAACCTATCAAGTTTTTTGTGTGTTTTTTTTCATTTAGACTTAAAACATATGAGATCGGACGAAGTAGAAGTTGCCTTTCAGGTACCTTGTAGTATAGGATGCTGTACGGAAACAGTTTCGAAAGCTTAATATTGTATCGACAACTATTGATAGCTGCATCTCTAAACAGAATAGCGACCTGGCTCAAAGTTTCTCCACTGAATCACTTTAGCTTCTGCACATACTGATTACCCAAATACTACACACGAGGGCCGATGTATGTCAAAACCTAGTCATTGCTCAAGAAAAAAAAATGATGCCGTACAGAACCATTGTCTTTCAAATATGGAAACCTTTAAAAAGGTTCCGTAAAAACCTAAGTCGTCTTCACAATGATTGTCAGCTGTCTAGGAAACTTTTTAAAAGGTTTCGTAGATCTTCTTTAAAACTCATAAAAGGTTTAGAATTCGTTTCAAAGATCAAGACCTTATTCACGTTTCTAGGTGTGGGCGTGTGACTTCAGATAAATACCCGCACTCAAAACCATCGCCAATCCACATCCACACACTCACACCACCCCTTAAGGAACAACTTCACTTCATCCGAACTGGGTTACTTTACCCTACTGTATGCAATGCTCTCGATAATTCTATAGATTTTTCTTGTAATAATTACTTTCTTTCATTAAGATACTTTTCTAAAATACATTGAGTTCTTACCTGATGCACTGATTCGAGAAAATCTGATCCCACCCAAACCAGTTGCAATAATTGAAAATGGTCCTGTTACATTGCGGGAGTAAGTTGTTACAACCAAAATATACTTTGTTAGAGTATCAACAGATATGTTTAAAAGGAATTGACTGCTGCCGGCATCATCATCATTGTATACTACTATATTTGCAGACGGATCAGAAGCATTAAAACTGTTATTGTAGATATAACCATATGTATTGAAAGTACTAATCGATTGAAAAGAATATGATCCAGCTGTAGAAACAAGCAAACGAAAAGCTTGATAATAGTAGTCTGGGCTGGAACAATTGCTTCCTCGACAATACTGTGGACTACCATTAGTTAATGCTGACAAATAACGCGAGGTTGTCATCTTTGAAGTATCTAATCAGAGAAAAATTAAGAAAAACTCCAGTCTTGATTTGGCTTCTTCATCTCACTCTACGATAATACACTATAAACAATGATCATGATCCTTTTCATAGTGTTTTCTAAAGCGAAGTATGGAAAAATAAAATAACGATTTCAATCAAGAAATATCTCCAGAAATATGACGAACTATGTATCACTGCTGCAGACCACAGGAAGATCTTTTTTGAGGTCAAGGTAATCGAAGAAATAAAGCATCAAGTAATTTCACAGAAAATAAAGACTCAAAAAGGTTCTATTTTAAAGACAGAAAAAATATGATCGATTTATACTTCAGTTGTTTTACATATCTGCGTTTAAATTATTACTAACAAATTGATACTGATTGAAGATTTGTCGAAATACACAGTATTTTGCAATATAAGTTATGTTGTCTCACTATTTATACGGTGTTTCGAGAAACTAGATAGGTAACTTGCCATAACTGCTTCTTATGATGTTTATTGACCATGACATGTTTTCAGAACTTAAGTACTTCACATGCACAACATACCTCTATAGATGTGCGTAAGAGAGAACAGATGAACACAAGAAAGAATCATATAGAGGAGTTGGCGCAGGATGAAGAGACGGAAGGACAAGATGACGAAGACAGATACAAGGAAGGCGACAGGAAGGTAACATGCATATCGGTATACCTATGCTTTCAAATCGAATGTGCCCCTAAGTATCTATCAAGAGGAGAAAAAAAAATAACGGCCGACATCTTGAACCGCGTAAAGCGAAAAGCAATTTTTCTGATTCAAATCTATCTTCTCAGAAAAACGATAAATAAGTATAAACTTAACTATTTCGTTCAAAAGCCTAAAAAATAAACGCACCTTATAAATTCTATAGTAAAGTGGAATCTTTCGACGCATGTAACAGCTCACATGGGCTGATACTATCCTTTGTGTTTGAACTGTATGAAAATATCAGATAGTGATTTAATCATGAAAGCAACCGTTCAAAAAATTGAAAAGCTTTAAAAGAGACACAGGAATTTGTTCACAAATCTGATAGTAGGGTGAGAATTTCTTCGAAAATTCTATTGATTTCGAGCTTTTTTGAAAAGTCAAATCGCTTCTAAAACAAGAAACCTTGCCCGCATCTTCTCTCGGTAAAACAATCAATTTCGATTTTTTCGAAAAAAGTTTGCAAGGAAGGTACACCGTAAAAAGAACATAAATTAATCAAAGCTTATCCTTAATTTTTTTTGTCATAAACTCTTGAAGCGTTCATCAGTCGAAGGGTTTGTGATCGTAAGCATTTATCGATATGCAAAGGGTATTTAAAGGTTTTTTAAAGATTTTTTATTCCGTATTTTGATTCGAAGGTTTATTATTAAACGAACACTGGTAAATTAGTATACGTATTTGTTACGGGAGTTTATTATACCACAATCAAGGATAGATTATTCTATGATTCAAGCAAAACATATCTTATTCAACGGCTGAGGGTAGATTATTCTTCGCTTTTGGAGACAGGCTTTATCATGACATAATTAAGGGTAGATTACCATACGGTGTCACTAGAATGGTTGATTATTCTACGGCTAAGGGTATATCATTGTATGCATTCTGAAGAAGCGTTCATTATAATACAGCTAAGGATAGGTCACTATACGATCTCACACAGTAAGGTTGACTATTACTACGAATGGTAGATTGGTATACCCTATAACAATTGGTTTTATAATGAGCTCTCTTAACACTTGCAAAGAGTCCTCCAGGTTTTGGAAACGTTTTAGGAATATCATGAATTTTTCGAGGATTTATGAACTAACACAGTTTATTGAAATCGGAATGTATTAGACAGAGAAAGTTATATTATTACTATTTTTAGTTCGAATATTCAGCATTTTCATCGAACGCGTTTGTTGTTACACGCATTATGGTAATTCAATCATCATTTTTAACACAAAGATTTAATACTTTACAAACTAGAGTAGCCCACATTCTGTACTGCATAAGGTTTTTATTGTATATGAATACGTAAATTTATCTACGAAATCAGCACATGCCCTAACGAATCGGAAAATCTGCGAGTAAGAATGTATCAAAGTTATAATAGTAGAAGATACTATTACAAAGTATATCCTGCTACACTTAACCCAAAAAGGATTTAGTATTCTATGAGTAATCATAAGCTATTCTATGTTTAATTTTGATGTATTCATTCGTCTATATTCAAAGCTTGAGCATCTGAACTTGTTAATAGAAAGATTTGCAATTCTAGAGTTTGATCGAAAATATTCATAGTTATATCCGTATAGATAAGCTAGCATAAAATGTCCACAACTGTCGCTACGCGAATATCTTGTAGTATGCGCATGGGATACTTGAGAATCTGGTGCAAGAAAGTCATGTGCCATGGACAGATCTTGAAGTAAACCTTGAGGTCTCGTTTCCAACTCAAGAGCTTGAGTTTTTTATTCTATTGCTTAACATTCTTACTCATGTGCGTGTAATGTGCTTGGATATTCAAATTGTTTTTGTGGCGCTTTAGTCATTTTTTCGATGTAAATGTCACTGACCATTAGTAGCTTTATCTACTGACTGTATAAGAAGTATGAATGAATGGAGAGATAGTATGATTGGTTTTATGGCGATAAATGACCACAAAGCGCTGTTCACGAAAGAAATAATAAGAAACAAATGATTCTCTATATTAGGAAATGACAACAATTGTTTGGTCAGAATATAAAAGAAGAAGAAAATAAAATATCGATATCTATATCTCGAAGTTGTTAGTGAATTATAAAAATGTCCTGTGTACGTTTTAGATGTTGGAAAAGATCACTCAGCGGCGTTTATACTTAAAATATAAACGAAACTGGCGCTTTCAGACGCAGAATAAGGCACTACAAGATGTATTGAATACGGTATGTTTTAAAATATTCAACATTTCTTTTATTATGTTTGCTTCATTTTTTATAGATTGACGTTTTAGAAACAACAAGTACTGAAGAAGAAGAAGAAACGATTTTACATGATGATCAACAAGCAATTATGAATTCTTTCTTCAACGAGCATTTATTAAGGCACTCTGTTTCTGTAAAGTCAAACGCAGATTC